TCCATATTATAGCTGATTTTTTTAATTTGTCCAAATATCTACCTTCACATCAATACATTATTCATTCAGGTTGTGTAATATAACTACATGTCATGTCGTAGTATGCTTATCTTTTTTTTTCCTTCTTCTTCAAAACTATTTTGTGGTAATGCCTTTACATTTTTCTATAACTAATCAGGTAAGAATACAACTAGTCTTGAAAAAAAAAAATACTAGTTTTTCTTTTTGTATTTGTGTTGCGGGCAAATGAATGTAATTTTATAGACTTCAGCCTGAAAAGTTGTGTGTTAAACTTCCACTGGTGGGACTAAAAAACGAATACACACTGATAGCAACATTTGTTGACGGAATATTTTCCATGCCATTTCCCTCTTGGTACAAGCGATAACTTGTTATGTGCTTTTACATTTTGCTTGCTTCAACCATTGCAAGTATCATATTCACTCGCTTGTATGTAGTAACTACAGCTCTCTGTGACGTACACCAATTTTAAAAGTTCATAGAGCCCGACAATGACAGTGGTTTATATTTAAAAATCCAGAAAAATAGTTGTTTTTTCTCTCAGAGCACGATACTTGACACCACTCAGAAGAAAATCGAATGGTGTCGGCTATAAGTCACCGGTCATAAGTCATCGGCCATAAGTCACCGGCCATAAGTCACCGGCCATAAGTCATCGGCCATAAGTCATTGGCCATAAGTCATCGGCCATAGGTCATCGGCCATAGGTCAACGGCCATACGTCATTGGACATAAGTCACCGGCCATAAGTCATCGGCCTGTGGCATATGGCATATTAATCCCACCCAAAAGGCATTTACTTCTCCGGATGTCCCGAAGAGGTCTCTCCCATGCTTCTATTCCCCCGTTGCGAGCCGTGGTGCACTTAACACAATCAATCGTTTCCTACTCATGGTGCCCTTAACACAATCAATCGTTTCCTACTCATGGTGCCTTTAACACAATCAATCGTTTCCTACTCATGGTGCCCTTAACACAATCAATCGTTTCCTACTCACGAAGCGCATGAGCTGTTTTGTAATGTTGCACATAGTAGCCATCACAGTGATTTATTTAAGTTGAGAGGCCGTTATTGAATAGTATTTACATGTTATTTTATCAGTGTAACAATGATTCCATTGGGTAAGCATTATTTTTATAGTATCTGTGAATGTGCAACTGGGTCAAGGAACACAAAAGAGGGTCAAGTGTGTAAGCCGAATAAAAGAGTCCTCTGTGATCTGATAGTATTTGGAAAATTGCGACTAGAAGTTCTATTTTCAAAACACAGTAAGATCATAGTCCTCTATTCTTTAGCTGTGATACCAGTGAATGGAAAAACTATTTCATAGATGTTTAATTTTTTTCATTACTGGCATTTTAGTCTGTTGAAGGTGTCTAAGCCTTAGAATAATAGCATCTTTTTCTGGCAGACATCTATTACTATTAAATATAAACATTTTCAGAAATTAAGTTCATTATATATTTGCATTTAATAGAGCATATCATGATTGGTCAAGGACAATGCCTAGAATAGGTTCAAAAACAACATACAATGACAACCTTGATCTACTAGGGAGGGAAGTCTTCAGGGAAAGGAAATGTGCATCCGTGTTTTTTTATAACATCTTAGACGAATTCAACCAGCAGTACTATTTGATGATATTTTGTTACGCTATTCATATTAATAATTATACAGTTTTACTTAAATTTTACAGTTCGGGAAAATATAAAAAGAAAAACTAGCATGATTTTGATCCAAATAAATATCATCAAATTGGGTGTGTGTATATTTTAAAATGTATTTATTTATTTTTTATTTGTTTTTTGCTGGCATCCGTCCGTCACAATGTGACGATGGAGTGGGCTTCGTAGGACGAAATCCACATAGCCTGGGATTATTATACTTGAGGGATTATAAGCTGGTTCCCAATGCTGGTTCGGAATGTTTCACTGTATCAATGTTATCCGCCTTTCGGGACTCCATCTCCGGGTTTGATTTCAGAGTTTCCTTCTCTTAGATGAGTTGCCGTCCCATCTACCCGGGGTGCTGGTGGTGTTTTTGCTCTAGCTGGAATTGAACTCCAGACCACCAACTTGAGATTTGCTCAGTTTAGACCACTCGGCCACCCAGCACCCATTTATTTAAATGTATTTATTTAAATGTATTTATTTAAATGTATTTATTTAAATGTATTTATTTAAATGTATTTATTTAAATGTATTTATTTAAATGTATTTATTTAAATGTATTTATTTAAATGTATTTATTTAAATGTATTTATTTAAATGTATTTATTTAAATGTATTTATTTAAATGTATTTATTTTAATGTATTTATTTAAATGTATTTATTTAAATGTATTTATTTAAATGTATTTATTTAAATGTATTTATTTAAATGTATTTATTTAAATGTATTTATTTCTGACCGTCACTCACTTTTGTATGAATAAACAACTTTGTTTTAGAAATATTTCTTTGTAACTATCACAATGAGGTGATTGTTAAAGGCCTGTTTTTACTTTAATACATATAACAGTGTTTATATATATCTGTTTTTTTTCATCTTCATTTGAAAAAGTTTTAAGCTTTTTTCTTTCATTCATTGTCTAGGCAAACATTGACAAAAAACAAAATCCTAAATACCTTGGTGCTGGCAAGGATAAGATTCTTGATGCTCTGAATTGCAATTCCGACTGGTTTGAACTAATCACAAAACTTTTATCGAATCTTAAACCATGTCAACAAGATTTAGCGGACGATCTGATCCTTCTCAAATGTATTTTATACATTATTTGTCATTGTGTTTTTTATGGAAATAAACACTCTTTTATCATGACTAAATAAATATACTGGGTATATATTATTGACTAGAAACTCCACCCGTGATACGCCTTTCCTTCAATGGCCCACACCACTTTCTATACCAACTCCCGAATTTGGTCAGAACAACTTTACCCCTACCACTGATTTCCTCGACAACGCACTTCTCCTTACCCCACCTTCAGACCAGTTAAACATGAAAATCTTTGATTTGAATATGACTATTGTTGGTAGTCAGTCTGTTTTCAGGGAGAATCCTTCAAGCCCCCAACTCTCCAAGATAAATAACATGTGGCTGGTCAGCAATGAGTATAATGTTATGTCAGGTAGGATTTTTTGATTGACCTTAGCAAAGATTTTGACTTCCCAAACCATGCTGTAACCTTGATAAAAAAAAACTAATTCTAATATTGCATTTTTCCTTCTGCAAAATAATTCAGGTTGTATTTAATGCGTCAAATTCATCTAGCTCAAATAATACAACTGGGGTACTCAGGGCGCAATTTTTTGGATCTCCTTTTTCTTTTAGTTTAAATAAATGATCAAACACTTTTGATAAATGATGTTACATTTGATTTTTTTACAGACAATACCACTTTATATTATGTGGTTGGTGGCTCTGGTCATCAAATTTAACCAGTTACAACAGCAACAACAACAACAACAATGCTCGATTTTTAATGCGTGGTTCTCTTGTAATATCTTAATTCGTTGCATCCACACAAGTCTTGCTCAAAAGAGTTTAAACAATGTCTCCTTATCAATAAGCATCAATTAATCCAGAACAGAGCAGGCCAGATCACACACATTCCTGGGTTTAACAATAGAACATATTTTTATCTTCGCATTTTCATCAAGATGTTTTAGGAATAAACTTTTCTAAATCTATTCTTCACCTCCACAGAATTAAACAAATACTTGGATCCTAATAGCAGATAACTTCACATTTTAAAACTCTACCATGTAATTTTATGTTTTAAAACTGAAGAAACAAACATTTCTCTTTAAAATTATCATTCTTAAAACACGATCGTATTGTGTCAACTACTTTCAAAGCAAGGTGTCTGTGACCATGCTAAAGTAGCATGGATGCAAGCGCTATATAAATATAAATTCAACAATTCAATTCAATACATTTAATTCTGTATAAACTCTTTTTTTTCAAAAAAAAATATCGTATTCAGCCGTTAACTTTGTCCTTACACTCCATTCAAATACATCAAATCCTTGATATTATTTCACATTGAGAATCAACATCAGCATCAATTCATCAAGTTATTTCCTTTTGAATGGGGGGGGGGGGTTGTTTTTTTTTTTTTTTTTTTTTTTTTTTTTTTTTTTGTTGTTTTTTTTTTGGAGGGGGCGGCTGAAAATTTGATAACATATTTTGTGTTCAGCAATGTGCCATGTTTCAGCCCGATAGCTTGACGGGAAGTGGACCAAATAGCTGTCCGAAGATTTTTTCACCCAGCCAGTCAGTCAGCCATACACAAAAGCAAAGTTAAAATAAAGCATGTAATAAAAACGTATTGGTTAAAATAAATCAGTGAAGGTCTACGTTTAGACGTGCATTTTGGCCCTTGAACAAATAATTGGCATAAATACACACACGCATTCATGCATGCATGTAAACATACTTACCTACCTGCATACATAAAGGCATACATCCAATGTCAAATCCGCACACACTAGCCCACACACTAACACACAGACGCAAACACACAGAGACATACAAGCACACACGCAGACACACACATCTACACCACACATATACACACATATACACACATACACATGCACATACACACACCCATAGACACACATATACACACACAAACATACATACGCACATACACACACATATAGACACACATATACATACAGACACACACACACGTACATACATACACACACAGGCCCACACACACACATGCATACAGTTTGAAACTAGCTTTACGATGCTTATTTTCCTTGGAAAATCTGCACACGATTGAACCAACGTTTTCAACAGAACGTGACGACAGCAACCTTCTAAGTCCCAGCTGTTACATTGGTTATGGTCATTTTTGGAGTGTGACGTGCATATTTTTCCCCAGAAAATCAAGAACCGTGTCGTTGGATGGCGTGAAAGTTTCGTTAAGGATTTAAGGGTATCAAGGCGTGTTCGGTCGACTCTTATATTCTGACTACTTGATACCTTCAAGCTCTTCTCCGTATTGAAGCGTAAGTCTCTTTTTTTTAACTTTTTTTTTTGTAATAGATGAGATTAGTTCATTGATCCAACTATGTTGGAAATGTTGTTTTAATACAATGTACATATTCAGTTTCATCTCATAGATTTATTATCCTTAGAAAGACAAACATTTTTTTTAAAAATCTAAAACAATTTAACACATGACAAATTATAAGGTAATTCTCAAGTACAAAAAGGAATCGTCATATTCTATGGAAATTCATCTAGTTAGTGACAAAATGTCTAATTTTAGAGTGGTTATTATGATTTTTTTTTAAACAGCCGGGGAACATTGTTTTACATTTATTTGAAGAAATGTTACTTCTCTAAAATAATTTTTTTATTAAAAATGTAATTACAAATGGAAAGGAAAAATGGAAAGGAAGAAAGAATTGTAAAAATTACTATATTAAATAAGAATCACACAAATTTTACTTGTTAAATCGGTGAAGATGGATTTTTGTTGAGATTAAGGGACTAGGAAATGGATCGGTGATAGGTTTATTGAGTAAAAATGTCCACTGAACAAGGTACCTGAAAGAGCTTCAGTGTCTGAATGTAAGGGATTAAGAGGAAGCAGGGTTGGCATAGCAATGGTTGAACAAAGACCAAACCGGATCAGAAAAAAAAAGTGAAAACAGAGGCCCAAATGTTTTAAACACTATTGATGAATACACAAAACAGCGACGATTTTCCCTAAAGTGTCGTTTATTCGAACTGTCATGTCTTTATAGTATTATCGTCACTAAATTTGCAATTAGCGTGGCGTAGAGCGTGCGCTTACGAATACCTGAAACACATTCCGATCAGGTCCCGCAATCCATGTCAAAACTAGATACGTGTTGCACGTGCAGTTAAAAAACTGGGATAAAGCCATCGTCGCCTCGTTAACTAATGACAAAACTGGGATAATGTCATCGGCGTCTCGTTAACTAATGACAAAACTGGGATAAATCCATCGGCGTCTCGTTAACTAATGACACAACTGGGATAATGTCATCTGCAAGCTCGTTAGCTAGTAATAAAACTGGGATAATATAATCTGCGTCTGGTTAACTTAAGACAAAACTGGGATAAAGTCATCCGCGAGCTCGGTAATGACAAAACTGGGATAATGTCCAAGCTCGTCAACTAATATCTCTCTCAAAATGAACGCCTGTAAATATTATTATTCTTATTAACGGAAAGTAGTGTCAATCACTTTGGTTTTCTCTTTATTGTAAGTCAACTGAATGCGTTTCGCCAAATATTTGTGTATTAAATAAAAGCCTATAGAAGCTTAATCTACAACTGTATACGATAGTTGATTCTAGTATTTTAGTTTCATTGCAATTATATCAACGTGCTTTTTTATTCTAATGTGCTCCCCTTACCGGGCCTCAGGCCTCTCGCTCAACATTCCAAATACGTCAAACATGCACACAAAGCAAACTATTTGGATAAAACATGCATTTAGCTTTCAAAAGACACCAAGAAGATCTTTCCACACATATAGAAGAAAATATATATTTTTTATCGGCCTTCTTTTAGCCACGTGATGCTGAGATTTCTAATGGCTGCCATACCCTTGTTAGGGTGTCAAACCCTATGAGATTCTCATCTCCCTGTGAGGGTGTAATCTTTCTGTTATGATGTCATCAGACGCAGTTCACACCTCCCCCTCCCCCCCCCTTTTCAATGACGCTATCGCAAAGGCTCAAAATACGGTGAGCTGCAAAGAGTTTTTAAATTTCCCCACTCGCAGACAATGAAAATGTTGCCGAGTTTTTTAACAACTTAACTTTTCGAACAAGGATCTTTCACTCTAATGAAGAGAAAACAACATGGCATGGAGATTAAATTGTTTATCAAAATTACATTTAATTGGGAGTGAATGTTTATTTCAAATAAATCCTCATGTTCTTATAAAAGAATTTTTTTAAAAATATATTTTTTTTGTTACTGATTATAATATTGTATTCTCGTAAATATATTCAATAAAACATTTCGAATTGAAACAGTCTATGCCATTGCATTCCTTTCTAAACGAAAGGCTAACGCCGGGGATAAAATAAATATATTTTTGGGTAATTTCTAACACATTGCGTGGACCCCTGACCTAAGGGAATGCTAATTTGTGTTTATAGTTGATTGGGTTTTTTTTTAATTAAGACCTTATAGCACTCTTTAAAAGTGAATAGCAAATTAATCTGTTTTATCAAAAATAGTGCTAAACCTTTCACCTACTTGTACGTTACATTCTCCGGGAATTTCCGTTCGAGGATCTGCTAATTCAAATTTTCCTGGAAATTTTCACTACCAGGAAATTATTGGTGCTTTTTTTTATTTTAAAAAATGATTCGCCTTTTTAAAATGTCATTAATTTTTTTTTTAAACGAATGTTTGCGCGATTTGGCTTCTGTAAAAGAAAAAGAAAAGAAGAAGTAAAAAAAAGAAATTTAAAAAAAAAAATTAAAAATGTGTAATTTTAAAAAACAAACGTGGAATCACATATCAAACTTAGTTTCATTATGTCATAGATCTATGAACAAAAGTTTTACCCGTGACAATTCAAAGGTCAAGGATGTCCATGTCTGTTATTTCGCCTTTCATGGGAACTACCAACGGATACACACAACGTCTAGCTTAGCTAATGCTGGTACTACACACGTATCTATAAATTAGATCAAGTAATGTATATAGGGGTAGAGTGGTTAAGACGTGAAAGTGATTTCCCATTTCTTTCTTTCTTTCTTTCTTTCTCTTCCATTGCTAGCGTAATAGAACTGATGACGCACTGAGCACAGTAAGAAAATTTCGTTCAATAGATTGTCCTGAGTCCCGATATTCTTACAATAGAACGTATGGCCTTAAAGATGAATAATTTACAATGCTAAGACAGAAGGCAGCGTAAAGGTTTCTTCCACTAAGCCAGGAGTCGGGATATGGTTTCATCCCTTTATCCTAAAATAGTTTTGTTTGATCCGATGTGAGGCCCGAACTAAAGGGTAAGAAGGAAATATTGATAATGTTAATTCAAAATGGGTTTTCAATAAATATGTAAACGGTCGAGAAAAGTGGTCATGTTAAAAATACATAATAACTAGCAAATAAGCCCACCGTCTCCCGGAATTACATTCTACAGCCTTTTAGCTAGCATCGAAAATAGGAGCCCTGTAAAAAAAAAAGAAAAAAAAACGCATCGAAAGTAAACAAATTAAAAATGTATTATTTCCCCCTACAAGAGATAAATTTATTATATTAATTTTGTAAACATTTCTTTCCCCAATGGGATGCGGTTCCCCGATAAGAACTTGTTCTCCGTTGGAATCCAGTTCCCCGATGAATCCCGTTTCCAGTGGGATAACGTACCTGGAAAAATACAGTTTCTCAATGATCCGATTCCCCGATGAGATCATGTTTCCGGTGACATCCTGTTCCTCGATGGGATCCCATTCCCGGTTTGATCACGTTTTCCGTTGAGATCTCTTGTCTAGTGGGATCCCATTCCCGGTTTGATCACGTTTTCCGTTGAGATCTCTTGTCTAGTGGGATCCCATTCCCGGTTTGATCAAGTTTTCCGTTGAGATCTCTTGTTTAGTGGGATCCCATTCCCGGTTTGATCCCGTTTTCCGTTGAGATCTCTTGTCTAGTGGGATCCCATTCCCGGTTTGATCCCGTTTTCTGTTGAGATCTCTTGTCTAGTGGGATCCCGTTCCTCGGTTCGGTCTAGAGCCATTCATTCACCCAAGAATATTTGTGGATAATTTCATTTTTTTAATGCTCATATAAATATAAATATAAAATGAATTTAAGGTCTTTGACCCCAAAAGGAATATAGTGTAAAGAAAAAAACAGCATTTCCTTCTAAATAATGATGGATAATTGTGTTAAATTTGATCAGCATCCATCAATCCACGTAGCAACGTCTGCGGAACAAATATTATTTTATAGATGTCACATAGACGAAACCCCCAATATTTCCATTTGGATAGTTATGGATATGTGTGACCCCAATTGGCACATAAATCCATCACTATCCGAACGGGACTCTCGAAGGGGTTAGGAACATTTTTTTCAGATTCCGTTTGGGGTCGGAGACCCCGAATTCTTTTCTTTTTCTTATATGCGCTAAGGCCTATAGCTAAACGAGCAATTTCAAGGTCATGACATCAGAGGTAGTATGTGTTGTGATGGTGTGATATTGAGATATGCGAACGAGAGAAAACTATGGATTTTGAGGCGCAGTGTGTGCGATAGAGCGAGCGACAGAGAGACGATTATTTTTAAAAGGAGTCGCTGTGAGATGTTTTACTGATGAGAATATTGTTCCACATATGGATTCATGTCTCAGGTTAACTGTGAAACAGATGGATGTTTTAGTGCTGTCAAAATAAAACGCATGATGTACCATGAAGCTCGGGTGTTGTTTGAATCGAACTAGACCGCATGACCAAGGAATAAATGCCATCGAGATGGTCGCCAGCATCGTAAGACTTCTAGACAACGAAATATTTGACATTGGACCAAATATTTGACATTGGACCAAATATTTGACATGGGACCAAATATTTGACAACCACCAAATACTCCTACATGAATGGATGGATCTTGACCAAACTTAGTACACATGAACTGATTATCCATATTCAAATACCGAAGGGAATTGAATTCATAATATTCACATCCTTAAGGCCGGAGGCCCCATTTCATTGTTCCTTATAAGCTATAAAGAATATAAATACCAATATGCATAGACAACACTATGGATTTTATGTGAATGGATGGATTTAGGCCTAGCTTTGTAGCAATACCCTTCATAGTGACCCTCGAGTCACACAAAGATCACAGCGGGATCGTGATCCAGGGGTGGACTGGGGAGTTCAAGCGGCCCGGGAAAAAATCAAAGTGGCCCTATGTTCATGACTTTTATTTGAATTTATGTATTTATTTATTTAGGCATTTTTTTATATAGCGCTTACCTTAAAGCTTTAAGCGCTTTACAATTATTAAAAACATGTAAACTAAGTAAAATAAAGTATTACATCACCGGTCCTAGCGGCCCATCGGGAATCTTCCCGGTGTCCCGGCGGCCCAGGCCACCCCTGTCGGGATCATCAAGAAACTCGATCCTAAAGGGATTTGAATCACACCGGGATCAAACACCCACTGATATCGGGACCCACCGGTATCGGGATTCCACCAAGATCGGGATCCTTCCAGGAACGGGATACCGACGGCATGGGGATCTCTCCGAGTTCGGGATCTATTGGGAAGCTTGATTCTACCGGGAGTGGGATACCAGCGGGATCTGGAACCCACCGTTATCGGGATCCCACTGGGATCTAGATACAATCGGGATCTGAATACGAACGGGATTGGGATGCCATCGGGCTCTTGATCCCATCGGCATCCTAATGGGAAACCTGATACCATCGGGATTGGGATTCAACTGGGATCGATATCCAGTCGGATTCAAGAACCCACCAATATTGGGATCCCACCCTGAACGGGATCCCGGTGGGAACGGGATACTACCGGGATCGGAATACCGACGGAATCGCACTTCCACGGGCTTTGAGATCCAGAGTGATCGAGATCCCACTTGCTTCGGAAAACTGACGGGATTGGTATACTAACGGGATCGGAATCCAAACGGGATTAGGATCTCAAAGGGATTGGGATCACATCGGGATCATGATCCAACCGGGATTGGAATCCAAAACGGGGTCGGGATCCTTCCGGGAACCGGGAAACCATCGAAAACGGGATCACATCGGGTAACGGCAACCGATTGGGATCTGTCTGAGATCGAGATCCCATTTGGGGAACCAAAGTTTTAAATAATTCATTATAAATGTGTTTTACTAAAGGGTTGGGTTTTTTTTTGCTCATGGCACCTAATTTTAATGTTAACTAAAAGGCTGTAGAAGTTGCTGTTTTTCCGAATGCAATCTGGGCCACGCACGGTACGCTGGCAAATATATACAACGCCATATTATTTATATTTATATACATATATGGCTTTGACGTAGGGCTGAAGAAATACGTTTTAAAAGATAATAAATAAAGTTCTCCAAATGAACTACACCACACGTTATTGTAAGCATTGCATTATTATTGTTTAACTAAGCATTTTATTAATCATTTGACTTGTTCTTGTCTTGCAGCTAGTCATTCATACATCGAGTCGCACAAAAAATGGGAGGAGGATCATCAAAGCCGGCTGAATCGAGCCCACAATCAAAAACAGATCCAAAACTGTTGAACACAAAGCTAAATTTTCTTGTCATCGGTAAAGCTGGAAATGGGAAAAGCTCTTCGTGTAAAGCTATTGCGGGGTTACCTGAAGACTCACCTCACTTTGCGTCTTACAGAGACGTAACTGCAACCACAAAAAGTGTTGGTAATTATCGGATACATAGATGGGGGAAAGAGATAAGCGTGACTGATACACCAGGTCTTGAAGATCCTGATCTAGATGTTATTGCAAACGCCAAATTCGCCAGGAAAAACATGATAAACGCAATGAACATTTGTCCAGAAGGTTTTCATGCTATCGTAATAGTTTTGAATTATCTCAGTAGATTTACCGAAGAGGAGAAGAACGTGATTGAGCTACTTACAGAAATATTTGGTGAAGAAATGTTTCAGTTCACCATATTGATTTTCACCCACGGTGACAGCTTTGATAATGATCACAACATTACTAATGAAAATGCAAGTCAAAGAATCTTCAAAACCTGGTGCAGACAACAAGAAGGAGCCCTGAGAAATTTACTAGCCAAATGCAGTTTTAGGGTTGTCTTATTTCACAATGCCAAATCATACGAAGACAAAAGAGATGTTGATATGATTGAGTTGAAAAGGGAAACAGAAGGTATTTTACAAGGAGGCACATTGTACACAGACGAGCAATTTGGAAGACAGCGATATTACAGAGATAGAATTCTCATAAATAAATTTTTGGATGAACTTAAAAAGCAGATAAATGAATCTCTGACTTCATTAAAAAAAGAATTTAAACTTATAACTACACAAGAGAAGAAATTTATTGAAAGAATAGATGAAGTCTTAAAGGAAAAGACGTCCCATTTGCCAGATTTAGAATCCTTGCTGAAGAATTTGAAGGATTTAAAGGTAAAATTGCAGGTGAAAAGGAATAACCAAGAGAAACGTAAAATGTATTTACTCGTTCAAGACAAAATCGATACCCCGCTTTTCTTGAGTCTCAAGTTGTTGAGTGATGACCTTCAGAAACTAATCAAGCCAGAGTGGCACAAAGAGGATCTGAAGCACAGGGCAATGGCGCTACAAAGCTACATACGTGAAGAAGACTACGGAACCAGAAGGCTAACGGATGAACTTGAAAATATTGATTACTTCCTCTCTGAGATCAATGGCTTAGACACAAAAGCGAGAGGAGTGTATACCGAAATTGAATGATGCAAACGAAATTGGAACATGGGGAAATATGAAATTCCCCAAAAGGAAAACAGCCAGAAAATGTGACCTCAGTAGGCGCGTACCATAAATTTCCAATTACTATCTGGCATTCTTTAAACCATTGATAGTAAATTTGTTTAATTTGCGTTAATCGAATCAATTTTAATCCAAAAATATGAAATTGCTTATATGCATATATTAGTGAAATTTCTTAGTAAAATTTTGAAAAAAAAAAAAAAATCTAAAGCATTTAAAATTAAGCGTAACTGTAGTCTCCTGTCAAAATTAGTTCGTTAAAGTTGACCAATTAAAGTGTCAAAAGCTGCATATAAAAACCAGATTTATAATTTCTCGTGTGCATACTGAGTTTTGGGCCCATCGCGTTTCTTTAGTGTTCAAGCTTGACACCGCCAAAAACCAAGATTTAAAGTCAAATTTAAAATTTAAAAGATTTCTTATTAAAAAATGATATTCGCATTTGAAAAGGTTAGGGCCGTTTATCAGTTCAAATAAATTAGGTTACCGACGCTAAAAGTGGCGTTTAGATAGGTGCACAGTTAAACTAATTCCGATAAATATTCAAACTACTTTTAAAAATTTATTCCATTAAAATTAGAAGGAATTTTCAACGTTGGTGCCTTTAACACTTAACATCTAGGGACCAAGGCGCCAGAACTTAATCTTAAACACTTTACAGCAGTGAATTGTTTAGGTTTATATAGTACCATTTTCATCAGTTGGAAAACGTAAAAGGTTAAGTTTTTATTTAAAATAATATTGGGCGTGCCCCTGGACAAAAAGATGTGGATGTGATCTTTATGAAATCCACCGATTCAAAGGGAAATATGAAAGATATTTTGACCAAGTTTTGCCTAGATGCGTAGAAGCTTACATTGAAACTTAAGCCTTCTTGTATAGCTTTGGCTTTGGTAAGGAAAATACACTGTAGAAAAATATATTCAAATCAGATTTCCATGTTCATAATCTATGTGGAAAAAATAGAACTGGCTTGAAATTTCTTCTTTTTTTTATTTGTAGCTTCAAAGGACTTGTAAAAAATCCCCTTTTTTTTTGTTATCCATATATCAATACTGAAACATTAAGACAAATCGTTCAAATAAAAGCCCTGGTGGGGATAAAATCGACCCACCTATTCAGTGACTTTTTTTCACTGAAATATGATTCGGGGCGTAATACCAAACATGTGGCTCTCTCTCGCTCCCAAGAAACTACTATATCATAAAGTAAGCATTGAAAATAAATAAATGCACCCTGTGATTTTTGGCATCCCCCTCACCCCTTTTATATTTCCAAGAAAAAAAACTCTGCCGTTCGCCCGAAAATCTGCAATAGAATAAAAAGGAAATAAATGCAAACTGCGCACCATCTCCACCCCCGTTTAAAAAAAAAAAAAAAAAAAAAAAAAAAAAAAAAAAAAAAAAAAAAAAAAAAAAAAAAAAAAAAAAAAAAAATTAAAAAAAAAAACACCGCCGTTCGCCCCAAAAACTGCAAAAAAATAAAAAGGAAAAAAAAGCAAACTGCGCACCATCTCCACCCCCGTTTAAAAAAAAAAAAAAAAAAAAAAAAAAACAAAACAAAATTTGTTACACACCATATATAGGTATATAGATAGTTTTAAAACTAATGGCATGGTGTGTTTAAACTTCTTCAGAAAACAAATGTCAGAGGGCAGGCACATTTTATGTGGACGTCTTTGTCTTTAAATCAGATGAAATTACAGTCGTGAAAAAAAAAATCAGTTTTTTCTTTCAAAATAAATAAATTTGTGTTTTAAAATTGTATGAAATACACAGTTCAGGGAGATTTGACCCAATGTGTGGCATTTGCTAATCTACCCATGCCTCAAAACTCGATGAATTTGTAAAGGGAACATAGGGGATACGGTTTTATTTAAAACAAACATTATCGAGATTATTTCAATTTTTCCAAAGACACGGTGTCTAAATATTTCAACTGTGCAAACCATATTAAAATATTAGACGTGGCAGTTACTGGTATATATTATATGCAAATAATACACCAGATAAATTTTAGATTGAAAATATTTTACTATACAGATTGGATTTGATATGTTAATTCTATATTGTGTAAACCAAGTTCACAATTTTACTTAGATGCAAAGATGTTTTTTTTCCTGTGTGTCTTATAAATTGTACATCCAACTTTTTTTCCGTTTTTCTGAGCTTTATTCTCGTTAGAAACTTGTGGGCATTCTAAATTTTTTTTCTCCATATTTTGGTATTATTGTACAATAAATTGTTACTTATATGAACGTTTTTGTTGCACTGCTGATGGCATTTTCCGAAACGTTTAACGTTGCATTTCGTGAAAATAGATGAATTCATTTGTGAGAGAAGAGAGTTGGAACAATGTTATATGTATACAAATATTTCGAAACTGTATCACTTTACAGACGTGATCATTGAAAGGGTCATGGGAAATGGCAGTTACTTTTTTTATGAGGTTAATAATATTTTTATTTTTTGTAATAAAAGGCTGTCACAGACTTAAATAAGTGTTGAGATATTCTTCTCAGATTTAAGAATCCGTTAATATCACATATATTGTAACCTGTCAAAAACTATTTTCATATTTTTTGTAAACCGTAAATGTGTTCACAATTTTTGTTTAAAAGCGTGTTTTCTTTGTACTTCAACAGTTCAAGAGCGTTATTTAGAGGATAAACACACACAAAATCCATAAAAACAAAGTTTTCGTATCAATCATGTTTACGTATTTTCTATTATTTTATGGAATGTTCTAATGTCCCACCCGCTTCTACACCGTAGATTTATTTTTACAAACTATTAAACCACCCCCACCCCCTCCCCAAAAAAAAGAAAACATTACGCAAAAAAAAAACGAATTTGCGATAATTTTTTTTTTAAATCGCATTTTGCGCATGTTTTTGGAAAATTCATGTGTCGTTATATTTTCTTCAATTTTGCCATTGAAAAACCGGAAAAACTTATTTCTGTGTGTTGTGGTTGGGGGTTAGGGCTGAAAACTTGAAAGAATATGTTGTCATCAGCAACAAGTCTTTTAGCCAAGTTTTAGTGGGATATATTTACGGAAAGTGGGTCAATTAGCCGTCCAAATTATTTTACCACCCAGCCAGAAAGACGATCAAAAGATAAGTTTTTATAAAGGAATTTTTAAATTATTTAAAGCCAATGATGCTGGAAACGTCAAGATAAAAACATGGACACTTCTTTCAAAATAAGGAAATTTACAATTTCTTAAGTACACATTTCAGTGTCGTGGAAAAGTGTCATAAAATTAATTCTTGAGGATACAATAAATGAAAAAAAAACTCAGTTATATAAGTAAACGAATTTGGTTTTTAGAGGTTTAGAATTCGCAATAGCAGATAGAAAGTAGTGCAATATATCTTCAATTTTAATCTGGGCACAACCGGGTCATATATTCTAGTTGCATTCTTAAACTATAGCTTGCACCAGGGTCAACTTGACCATGTTACGATTAAAGAATGTAAAATATGACTTGAATAATAGATCATTTCTCGTTACCATGGGGGCCTATCATATAACTTGCTTGGCCATTAGTTTGCATATATGTCCTTATGTGACATTGTTTGATGCCCGTCAAAGCACATACGGTCAAGTGTTTCAACCGTGCCTTTTATATAGCAGTAAAACATATCTTGAGATTTTTGAAAATCTGCTCCCGAAATATTTTGTTGTAATGCATCTATATTTTTTTATATAACTAATTACTTAACAATAAAACTAGGCTTTAAAAAAATACTACTTTTTCTTTGTATGTGTGATGCGGGCAAATGAATGTAATCTCCTTCTTCTTCTATATATTAAGAGCCCACGATCAATTTATTGATCATTTTGGCTCCTATGCATGAAGAGGGGATTTGCAATGTTACTGTGCCTGGTGTTGATGACGATATTTCAATGATTACAAGTCCTAATTTGTGAGGGAATCATGCACTCGGGGTTGCAAGGCTTGAGGCAATAGACGCAAATGTGTCTAGTGTTGTCGCCTCAACTGTTCCTTTTGAAAGCTTGTTCCAGGCACTGATTTTGTCGTCGTCGTTCCTCCAATGGTGACCAGCCTTGTGTTTCCAGCATGCTGCCAGCACTAGAGGTATTCCTGTAGTGGTTCAGGACAAAGCGTGCTGCCCGTGGCTGGACCGCCTCCAACCTGTCAATGCTCTTCTGGGTAAATGGGTCCCAGACTGAAGATGCATAATCCAAATTATAGATTTCCGCCAAAACATCTTTATATTAAAACTCCATTGACGGGGCTCAAACACGTACACACACAGACAGCAACATTTGTGGACGGAATCTTTTCCATGACATTTTTTCCCACTTTCATGATAAATGACTTCATACATTTATATAGGTACATAAAGGTAAATGTAAAGTGACAAACCTAGAGGCATTAAGATTGTTTCTGCACGAGAAGCGCCGTCACTTGGTGGAAAATGCTATTGAAAGGCACTTTTAAAATTAGACCAATGTGGAATTTTGATATAAAAAAAGATTAAGGTTTAAGAAGAGAATGGCTGGAGAGCAATAAATGGATGCTGGACTCTTTCTGTGAGAAGAAAACAGTAGAGGGATGCTGTAGTGTTTTCATCGCTTTCATTATGAACTCCAGATCAGATCATCAGCGATCAAGGAAGTAGCAGATATGTTTGAGGATGTACAATTCAAGAGTCTAGTATGAGCAAGTGAAGAAGAGTTAATGGTGTCCGTTCCAAAATTAAATTCTTTCTATGTTTAGTTATCAGAAAATGAACTTTTAAAGGAAATACCAAGGCTTAGAAGACACCTAAAGGCAGCTGATATTGAATTTCACAAAGTCATGGACTGTTCAGTATATGATGTTTTGAAATTCGTAGCTGAGGCTTCCTAGGTTCTCTTACAATACTCTCGCTAAGCCTTTTAACGTTTCTTACGATCTGTGTGTCTGTGGCTTGATGAGAGCGGATTTTTTCAAAACTAAGGCTTATCAGGAAATATTTATGATCCACCATGAGACAGTCTAGGCTTTCTGATGTGGCACTGCTATCATTTGAAAGTGATACAGTGAAAGACACTGATTTTGATCAAATGACTGACAGGTTTGCAGCTTTGAAGATCAGGAGAGGAAATTTTTAAATAACGTAAGTTTAATGTAAAAATAAACTATAACTTAACGTTGCTACAGTTTTTAAATACATTGACCTCATGACCTTCAATTTATTAGTTGTTGTTTTTTTTTTTGGTTGTTGGTTTTTGTTTGTTTTTGTTTTGTTTTTGTTTTTGTTTTTTGTCTTTTCATTGTTATACTGTGGACTTATTTTAACAAGAAGAAGTCCCTCATGGAAGTTTTTTGGGGTGTGACACCAAGAGTTTACCGCACCGGGTGACACCAACTTAAGCTACACCGCAGTTGGTGTTTCTTATGCTCAAGAGGGCATTGTCGTCTCTGCTGAACATACCTTTTCAACATGACTTGTGATGCAAAATAGTTGATACAGATTTTACAAATCTGTTCAAGCAGTGATGACTGGAATGAGGGACAACAAATGTTAATTGTAAGAATTTTGAATGCATTTGAGAGTCAATGTAACATAGTATCAAATGTAACAGACTGATTGAAGAAAAACGATGGAAATCTGTGCAAGTCAGTCCCAGAAGCATCTGGTGCCTGAAGGCCTTCACTAGTTTGAAAGACTGGAATGTTGGGGATATGAATCGACTGGGCACAATTTCCAAAGAGGACCTTCGAATCGGCTGGCAACAGTTCTCATCATGACATTAAACAATTGGTACAAATTTTTGACGCGTTCTTACATGATTAGTAAACCAACCTTGATCTTTACTTAGTACATCTTCGGCCACAAGTTCAGATAATTCAGAGGCAACACATTCAGCCACTGTTAATTTTTTTTTAAATTTTTACTAGCATCACAATTCAGACAATGTTTTGCCAGCAGATTGAAAATTTAATTTTTCAAATTCTTCATTAGCTTTTTAACCTTGTGAGTAAAGGTGACTACCAAAATCCTCATGTTGTAAAATTAGGCTGGACATACCGCCCTAGTCACTTGCGACAAACATAATCTACAGGTGAAAGGAGGCCAACTTTTGACTTCTCTTGCACCAACAAAGTGTGCTAACATTCTGACCAGCCATTAGCAGTGCAAAGAAAATCATTAAATAAATCGTAAATTATTAAAGGCCTAAAAATTATATTACTATTTACACTTATTACACTTTTCTTTTAAGTAATTACCAGACAATTTTTAAGATTAAAATTTTAATTAGAGAAAACATTATTGTTGACATCAATTAATTTACTCCCTTCCCCCTTTTCAACAATTTTCAAACCTTTCCAAACCCCCTTTCCCTTATTTTGTTGACATAATTAATGGACGCCCCCTAATTCATGGCTATTTTCACCACTACAACATCACCTCTCCAGCTCGGTCCATGTGGGGATTATGTTTTAGAACCCTCGACTTAATGTTGTCACCTATGCCACGGTTATTTTCTTTATAGCTAGAAAGCTGCACTCAATTCCACCTTAACCTGTCCTGACTGTAATGATAATGAATTAAAGTATGTAATACTATATTATTATTTGATGTAGCATCGAAACTTTTTTTTTTAATCTCAAAAACCAACAATTGAAACGAAAGTCTAATGTTTGAGTGTTTGAGTTTGAAAAATATGAAAATATGATTAACTAATAATAATTATTTTGTTGAATTCAAGTCAACAAAATGTTCCAAATAGTATCGAAAGTAAAAAGGCAGCTACATCTTCATGTGACATTTAAACTTAGATTTTAGAACTTAAAAATAAAAAATGTTTTTCATATTCGCAACGTTCGCAAAAACATTACTGTGCACGTTCACCATTTAAGGTGAATGTTTTATTTAGTGTTACACCAGCCTCGCTTTCATCGATTTTCCCGGAATAATAGGTAAACACAGATCTGTGTGGAGTACAAAATTGTCATGTGACATGAAACAAAAACTTTTTAAATCCCGCCATTACTGATTACTGACTAACGTCCCAAGCATTTTTGTAAACAAAATATCTGACTGAGCAGAACATTCAAAAGAAATAAAAATCTGATGAGTATAATTAACTTACTTACACTTTTTAAATAGTCAACATTCATCTAGATTTAGTTCCATAAAAATAGGCCTACGTGTCAACCTAACTTAAAATAATTAATAATATATATATTTATATATTATATAGATAGAATATTATATAAAACTATAAACTCGATTATAATAAACCAAAGCAGGCATAATTTAGACTTAGCCTTAGTCTTAGCATTAGCAGTTATTGAATTGTATTTGCATCCCATTTTATCCGTTGATTACGATTTATTATAATTTATAGACTAGGCCCTACATGTCGTAACTGTAACATGTGAGTGCATGCAACTGGCTTAAGAACACAAAAATTCAAATATAGGTCAAGTGTGTGTAAATGTAAGCCCATTAAGAGAGCCCTTTGTGATCTGGTTGCATTTGGAAATTTTAAAAACACATTAAGATCATAGTATAGCGTGCTCTAACTCTATTCTTTGGTTTTACATGTGAATGAAAATTTTTTTTATTTTATTTTTGTTTTTTTTATTTTAGTCTCTCGAAGTTGTCTTATGTCTTATAACTTATAATAATAATATAGTATATAGCTTCTTTTTTAGTGGAAGACATCGTCTAAATCTAATGAATATTGAAATTGTAAGAAATTAAGTAAAGTGTGTATTGCATATATGTAATTAATTGAGAAAATATTATTGGTCAAGGAAAATGCCTAGACTGTGTTCAGAAAGAATATACAATGCCAAGCTAGACCTAAAAATTAGGGAAGTCTTCAAAGTCAAAGAAAGGAACTGTGCATCAGTGTTTTTACGACATCTTCGACGAATTCAACCGCCTGTGCTTTCTGATGATATTTTGGTACGCTATCCTTAGACTTAGACTACTATCAATAACTATTTGTTTTTGTGTTTTTTTAATTTAAATAGTTTGGAATAATATACAAATAAAAATTAGCATAATTTGGACAAAACGTTTGTTATGAACTTACGTGTGTTTGTAAATATATATATATATAACATATATATTATATAGGCCTATTAAATAATTTAAATGTATTTATTTCTAACTGTAACTCACTTTTGTATCAACAAACAACTTTGTTTTTGAAATAATACATATGTATCATTATTTTCCATTACTATTTTTGGAACTGTCACAATAAAGTTATTGTTAAAAGCATGTTTTTACTTTTATATATACCGGTATAACAGTGTTAATATATCTGTTGTATTCAGCTTCATTTGAAAAAGGTTTAAACTGTTTTTCTTCTTCATTCATTGTCTAGGCAAACATTGACAAAAAGCTAAATCTTAACTACCTTGGTACTGGCAATGATGAGATTCTTGATGCATTGAAGTTTAAATCCAATTGGTTTGAAATAATCATCGAAGTTTTATCAAATCCCAAATTATGTGAACAAGATTTAGCAGATGATCTGATGCGTCTGAAAGGTCTTTTATAAATTTTGTCATTGTATTGTATGAAAAAACAAAACATTCTTTTATCATTTCAAAATATAAAAGACTATTGAAATCATGTTTTTAATTCCACTGCCTTTTACTAAAATGTGCTCTAATAACTTGATTATACAAGGCTTTTTGTTTCCCAAACTACCTTTAGAACACGTTTCAGTGTTTTTTCCTAAAATTTCCTAAATTAACTTAAAATGACACATTTTTTTTGTTTATTTGAACAATCCCTTGTTACAATTTCTGAAAAACAATTACTTTTAAATATTTTGTAACTGATTTGAAACTAGAATTTAAGAACTATAAATTATAAAGAATGCAAACCTCAATCGAAGATTAAATGTTTTTATCTAAACATGGACATATCCGACTTTTGCTTACAATCATAATAGTATCTACTTATCTATTACTAAGGCTAAGCAGAAATTTGTTAACCACACTACAATTCTTAGAACATTCATTTAAAGACTATACAATTTAAGTACTAATTAAGTACTAATTGCACAGGTTTTCAATGTTAATTTCAATAAATTATTTAAGTGTATATTTTATTAATTTCGTTCTGATCAATCCCCGGGAAATGAAAATCATAGTCAGGAAACTTTGGTCAATTTTAAAAAAATCACCTGTTGAGATTTTTTGTTTTGTTTTTACATATATGTTTTTTTCTGCTGTGTGGGGTGTTGACTAAGCAGAAATTTAAAATAAAGTTTCCATATTATGTAAAAGTCTCTAAGGTAAGATGGATGTTAGTTTTATGTATTTATTCATACTGTAAAAATTTAATCTGCACACCAGTTTAAGAAATTGGATGGAATTGAACATAACGACAACACTACTAGTACTAATTTTAATTAAAATTAAACAAACAAAGAAAAACAAAACCTATATGCATTTGAATTTGATGTCATGTGTCGTCGTACCCCACCCCACTTTCCTCCAAAAATTCAAATGGCAATAAAATTGATGCTGATGTTGACTCTCAATGTGAAATAATATCAAGGATTTGATGTATTTGAATCGAGTGTACGGACAAAGCTAACTGCTGAAAATGATATGCTTTGGGTTTTTTTTTAATCAGAGGTAAATGTAGACTTTTTGCTTTGAAAGTAGTTGACACTATAAGATAGTGTTTTAAGAAAGGTGATTTTAGAGAGAAACGTTTGTTTCTTTAGTTTTGAAACATAAAATTACATGGTAGAATTTTAAAATTTTGAAGGAACATCCTGGTTAGCAAGACGTTTGAATATTTGTTTTCTGAAGAGAGAAAATGGGGATTCTTCGTAATGAGCACATCCATCCAAATGCATAATCAATACTAGACCTATTCAGGAATTGTAAAGTAGTAATATGCTACTAGGATCCAAGTATTTGATTAAATCTACAGATTTAGAAAAGTTTATTCTTAAATCATATGGATAAAAATGCAAAGGTCTAAGTTTTATCTATAGTTAGACCCATAAATTTGTTAGGTTTAACCTGCTCTGTACTGGAGCTATTGATGTTTATTGATAAGGAGCCATTGTTTGAGCTCTTTTATTGTGTTGTGCTTGGCAAGTCTGGATGAAATCCATAATCATTTGATTACATAATTGATCAGAGCCAGTACCAACATAATATAAAGTGGTATTGTCTGTAAACCATTCAAATCTACCATGATTTATTGTAAGAGTTTGATCATTTATTTACACAAAAAGAAAAAGTGGATCCCAAAATTAATTAATTTATTTTTAAATTTAATAAAGTCTTGAAACCAATTTTTAGATTTTTAAAATCCTAAGTGATTCAATTTCATTTTTGTGACAGGCAAATTGGATGCAGAACTTGAAATAGAAAATACGAATGTAAGTTATAGTTAAATGGGGGGGGTTTTTGATTTTTTTTTTTTTTTTTGCTATCAAATTACTTCAAATTTTTAACTTTTCATGCAAAACATATTTATCATGTCTGGTTTTTTTTCTATCACCAAAAATGAGAACACTTTCTAAATTTTTAAGATGTTATTAATTTATCCAAACGTTTAATCTAGATAGATAAGTCATGCAGCTTAACTTGATAATATATCCAATCATCCCTGTGGTGCTACATGTAGGGCTCCGGCCTGCCTCACCATGTCCTTCCACTCAGACCTATCTCATGCTTTTTCTTTTCCATCCTTTAGCACTCTAAACAAAGAACCATTTTTTTTTAATGTTTTCTTCCCTTCCTTAGTGTGCGTCATCATCTGATTCTTTTGAAATGCCGCAGTCTTCCAACAATATTCAGGGAGAAAGGAACAGAAAGAGGACATTTCATCAAGGCGCTGCACAGGAAATGTCAGAAGATAATATTCAAACATGTGAAAAATGTAAAACTGTAGTTAAGAATATACCTAGTGATGTGGAGCCTGATGACCGAGGTCGTTGCTTAACTGTGAGAGATTCATTCAGGAAAACAGTTCTGAACATGGAACATTTGAAAGAACGGAAAAATAAAAATTGTCACTATTCTACAGGTTCAAACAGGTAAGACATTTTAGAAGATAAAACATTGGATTTAAATATATACATAAAACACATTTTAATTAAATACTCACATATAAATATTTCATAATTATTAGTCGGTTAAAAGTCTATCTTTTCAAAATTGTTGTGTTGGTTATGTTTGAAAAATGTGGTTTAAATTAATTTTAAAGAATTAATATGAAAGCCCAGTGACAAATTTCTATTTGTTATATCATCAGGTCTATGTTTTACCTCGCCTGTAGAGTTTATGAAGAATGGGAGGCTGGTACGCTACGACTGCCCAAAAAGTCACAAAAAATACCTTCATGTGTTCTCGGGGAAATTCAAACAAGATTTCCTGTATACAAAAAGAAACAGAGGAAAAAGAAATTCAAGAAACACACATAATATAAAATCCTATTGAAAGTTGGTCAAGTCAACAATTTTTGTTATGTTAAAACTGTTAACTGTACTTAAATACTCAGATTTTTTTTTATTGTCAAAATTAGACTGACCTGGTTTTATTCAAGAAACATTGAAATACACTTGTACATTACAACAAAAAGATTACCAAAAGCATTACAGTTACTGATTAGGAGAGGAGAAAATATTATGATAGGAATATTGAATATACTTTTGGTTAAGCATGACCTTGCTCTTTGTTCATCTCAGCCTAAATCATGGCATCGAGTATTCGTGACAGTATCAGTGTTTGACGATAATTTTTTTAGTGTGTATTGATTGAACTTTGTGACCTGATTGTCCTGTGTTGTCATGTTGTGTGACTGGACGTGATGATTTGTTGGAAGGATGTTTAAACTAAAATGTGTGAATATTGGTTGGAGAATTGGAGTGAGTGATGATGATGGTGAATAAAGGTTAGTTGTTACACAGACCTGATATGTTATACTAATACAGTATTATTAAAGAGTAACAGGAAAACCTTGCATCTATTAGAATAACATTTATATTGCATATTGAAACATTTTCTGTGTTTCAAAATCAACCAAGATAATATTCTGGGTATTTTTAAAGTGAGCTACAAGTATATAATATATTTATTATATATAAAGTTAAAACTGCACGCATAAACGGGCTGAAATCGCGAAATGACATGATTATTTACATGTGAAAGGAATCTTGAAAATAAATAAGTTCATGGTTTTATTTTTACACCATATTGCAAATTCGAATGTCAAATACTCTCTTTCTAATAATTTTTAAATAATCTCCAATATTATTTATAGTATATGTAATTTTTTAATTTAACTTTTGTACCTTAGGTGCCTAAAATCTTTGACTATTTTCCATGGTAATGTTTTCATTTTTTTACTGAAACATTGTCATTTTTTTCTATTGCTGTATTCGTTAATAATGGCTTTATACAGAAACATTCTTTTCATTGTCTTGTGCTGTCATTCTTAGCTGTCACATGTTGCCTTCTTATTATTTTCATTCGCAAACCGTGAATTATTTTTTCATCGAGTAGTGAGAGCTTATTTTGTTGTTGTTTTTAAAGTTTGAATTTAATGCATAGGATAAGTGTATTCATGTTAATTTTATAGCATACATTACACAAGTGTATCGCAGCTGTCTCGTAAGTTGTTTTTTTATAAAATGAGAGCCTTTGTTTCTTAATTTTTAATCGTTAAAAGTTTCAGCTCATCAAAGAAAACTATCTTCAATTATTTGATAAATCATACATTGATTTGCACCTGGGTACATGCACTTTTTTTTGTAAAACAATAGTAGCTTGCCTGTGGTTGCTGCCTACTTTTACAACCTTGGGTTGGTTCCAAAATGTTTGTTGTTTTTAAACTCGATACCATTAAGTTAAGGGGTTAATTAAAACATATCCCAATAATATATTTTTTAAAATAAAATGTACACTTTTACTCTGAATAATTTTTCGCTCTCAATTCATGGTGACATCATCCGATCCACGTTTTCTTAACCACACCATGACAACCACAAATGATATGAAAGCAAAAATGATATGCACCAAACCATTAGGCCAGTGGTTCTCAACCTTCCAAGTGCCGCGACCCTTCAATACAGTTTCTCGTGTCGTTACGACCCCCAGCCACACAATTATTTTCGTTGCTACTTCATAGCTGTAAGGATATGTGTTTTCAGGTGGTCTTAGGCGACCCCCAAGAAAGAGCACAGGCTGAGAACCGCTGCATTAGGCTCTCTTCTCTCTAAAAATAAGAAGTTTTTTTCCTTCACGAATGTTTCCCATAAGAAAATAACGTGTCAATTCAATTTTAACATGAAAATGTGTAGGCCCTATATATTTAATTTATTTGTTGCTTGGTTTGACTTTGAAAGTTAAAACTTTTAATCTATTCAGCCATAATCTTATTTTATTATATTTTTTTTTAATTCTTAAAATGTAAAATCAACCATACAAGTACTCCCAGAAGCAAAGATAACACAGGCTGAAAATTTTACTAAATAATTGTAATCAAGTTTTATTGAGCTTTTCTATCAACTGTTGAAAAATTGTACAAAACATTAACACCATTAGTAACTGGGCATAATCTGTTAATGTTCTAAAGACAATTTTGTTGGTAGTCATTCTTTGGATTGTGGTTTGTCTTTGCAAATAATTGTTTACGTTATTACTTGTAGGCGACTACAACTGAATAGATAATCTTTTCGCACTGGATATACAGAAAGCATACAAATGAGCTAAGCAGGCCCAAACCTAGGAAATTCTGAGCCTCATTCAGCTGACAGAGTTCGGGCGCCTATCAAGCAATTAAAAACTTGAAAAATGGAGGGCCCATAATCTAGCTCGGGCCCCTGGCAAGTGCCTTGGACCGGACCCCCAACCCGAGGTGCGGGCTGCCGTGGTATGAGTATAACTGAGAACATAATAATTCCCTAATAAAGGTTCTCCTTGTTGAATAATTCCTCTAAGGTTGACCCCAGTCAAATCATGGATAATGTCCCGTCTTTAAAGTAAAATTAATAAATTTAATTGATTGCTTTTTAAAATGACACGTTTTTCTACTTACGTTTTTAATTCTTTCTTTTGATTTATTATTCGAATTGTGTCTATTTTCATATTTAGGACAAAGGTGGCTTTTCTCACACCCATTTAATCTTTAAGAGAATAATTTATAGAAAAATGTTTTTGTAAAACTAAACAAATAATTTTGGATGATTCATCCCATCCTCTTCATCACAGATACTTAAGATTTATTATTCGAATTGTGTCCATTTTCATATTTAGGACAAAGGTGGCTTTTCTCACACCAATTTAATCTTTAAGAGAATAATTTATAGAAAAATGTTTTTGTAAAACTAATTTTGGATGATTCATCCCACCCTCTTCATCACAGATACCTAAGATCGGCTGGAATTCTTTCTCAAACTTTCTCTTATTGCGAGGACTGAAAAATATAAAAATTCGTTTGTTGTCCAAGACGTCTCGTTTAAATGTGTTTTAGTTGAAAAATGGGGACTTTATTAAAATATGTATTTATTTATGTGCTGAAAAGGTATATGTGCAACGTCATATAAAAACATGTCCATTTGTTTGGATCAATAAAAGGATCGTATCTTACCTTATAACGAGAAATATATTCAAGATATTTATTTGACTCAACTATTTTGTTGGATGTTAATTATATATCCCACACCTTGTTTAAAACATGCGAGTACCTAACTCTCATATCGATGGTTTTAAAAAAAAATAGCTTTTTATTTTTAACATTTAATAAGTTTTTACTTATTTTTCATCCCAAAATATATTTTTTTATTAAATTTATAACGAAATAAAACCTTAACATTAAAATATACTTTTAATAAGAAAATGCCGTTTATATCAATCAGTGCAGCGAAACTCCATAGCCAAATATCATTCATTAATGCACATATCACTCATCCAAATAAGAATAAACCATAGGAAGTGCACAAAATGTGTTGCCGTACGTTAGGGCCTACATACACGTGGATGATTTTTATTAATTTTTAAATTTTTATTAAAAGCTGGGGGGGGGGGGGGTTGTGGAAGCGACACTTCCATTTTGCCCCAGGCAGCACAAGGTACGCCTCAGAATAAAGGGATGAATTTGCTAAAGAATTAAACTTCTTCTTCTATATCTTAAGGGCCCACGATCAATGTATTGATCATTTTGGCTCCTATGCATGTAGATGGGATTTGCAATGTTTCTGTTACTGGTGGTGATGAGGAAATTATGCACTAGGGGTTTGAAGGCTTGAGGCAATAGACACAAATGTGTCTAGTGTTGTCGTCTCAACTGTTCCTTTTGAAAGATGGTTCCAGTCCCTGATTGACTTGGGCAGGAATGAGCAGCTCCTATACAAAACGTGCTGCTCGTCGCTGGACCGCCTCCAACCTGTCAATGCTCTTCTGGGTAAATGGGTCCCAGACTGAAGATGCATAATCTAAAATCGGACGGATAAAGGCTTTATATCATATTTATCGAGATAGGAAATAGGATGTGTACAATTTTACGTGGCATTACGTTATCTTTAAATCCAAGGATTATTTAAGTTGTGTAATAATGTTATATTCTCTTTTTATAAATAAAAATATTTTTTACCAATTAATAAAATCAAAACGTGTGTATATTTACATAAGAATACCCATGAATATCAATCATTTTACACGAGAAAAATTAATTTGGAAAAATAGAGATTGGTTAACACTTTCTTTCAAAAAATGAAAATATATTTTTGTTTTTACTTTGCAAAACGTAATGTGGGTTTACATTGTTATGAGATTATTAACATTTCTCTAAAAAATATTCAAGGCTGTTACAGGCGTGAAAAACGGTTGGGAGATTTTTTTCTTTAAATAAAAGAATTCCGTGTTTTACGATTTTCCGATAAAGTATAGTTAAAAAAACAAGGCAACTTTTTGTTAAGATTTCAATAAAGATATCAGTATATCAAATTCCCTTAATATAAACATTCATTTAAATATGGTATATAGAGTGTTTTTTTGTTTTTTTTTTGTAAATTTAAGGTGAAGATTTCACATTTTTATAG